CCCAGAGCTGCAGTACAAGGGGGAGACAATCACAGACTTAACTAGGGTGACGACAGGAAGGTTACAGATCAACAGATTGATTAATGATACCTGATTACCAAAACTGCCAAAGGAAAAGGTACAAGACTGCGCTAAGCATTGTGGGGATTAATATTGGCGTAATAACAAGTTAATCACTAAATCCAGTGGGGATAAAATGAGAGAATTCATTGTGAAGCAAGGATGTCAAATTTGAATAAGGGAAATTATTTAAGCATGAGGCACAAGTTGGCTGAGCTGGACTGAGAAAATACATTAAAAAGCCTAACTGTACATTGCCAGTGGATAATCTTTAATGAGCTATTAGATGACTTAATGCAACAATATGTTCCTTCGAGGTGCAAAAACTGAAAAAAGGTCAACAAAACAAGTTCGGGATTGTATAAGATTGAAAGAAAAGGCTTATAATGTGGCCAGAAATATCAGTTACATTTAAGGATTGGGAGAATTTAGACTACAGCAAAATAGGACCCAAGATTCTGATAATGAAAAGGAGAATAGAATAAGAATGCAATCTCATGAAAAACATAAAATGATCCTGAAAGCTTCCTTAGGTATGTAAAAAGGCAATATTTGGCTAAAATGAATATGGATCCAGTACAGGCAGAGTCAGGAGAATAGGAGAAAAATGGAAGGGAAGCTAAATGATTAATTTGTGTCTATTTTCACTGAGGAAGTCGACATCCAAGTGGGTAGAGAGAATGAGGAGTTAAAAGGAAATTAGCATTATTAAGAAGATTGTACTTGAGAAATCAGCACGGCCGAAAGTGAATAAATTCTCAGGACCTGATGGTTTGGATCGTATTAAATGGCAGGGCAGGCTTAATGGGTGGAATGACCTACTCTTGCTCGTCTTTCCTACAAATTCAGTCTCAAATTGTTAGAATGTTAAGATTTTCGTCATAGGGTGTGGTCGAGATGAAGATGAGCAGAGTTCAATCGGTATTGCCACTGTTAAATCTCTATCCTTCCTGTTGAATCAGCTTCAGGCTGCCTGAATTCTGGAGATGAGCTCATCCTGGTTGTCAATAGGTGACAGATGCCTGCTTACTGAGTGATAGTAGATGCCTTGCTGCACAGAGTTATAGCATGTGTCTTGGCTTGTCTCTAGTTGTTCGAGTAAAGTACACATATGGATATGTTTTAGATGGTTTAGAATGTTTGAATAACATGGATGTGAGGTTGATAACTTGTATAAAGGAGCTGCCTGCCTCCATGAGGACTCTCAACTCATTTTGATGGCTTGGGGCTGTTTAAGGCACAGTTGGTGAATGTCTCAGTATTGTTGATCCGAGGTCGCGTAAATCATGAGTGTCATGGATGACGTAACAATAACTTGAGTTTATACAGGTCCTTTCGTGAAATACCCCAAGGTGCTGCACAAGAAAGTGATGAAACAAAATCCAGCTCTGGAACATGTAATTGCATATAAAATTCCACAAAGACGTGCAGCAGAATGAACTAGATGGATTGCCCAAGAAGGCAGTTCACTGTCACCTTTTTAAGGGCAAATAAGGATGAGCAATAAATGGATAATGGGCCGATGGGCCAAAGAGCGGGAGATGGTGTTTAATTTAGATAAATGTAAGGTGTTGCATTTTGGTAAGGCAAATCAGGGCAGGGCAGGATGTACACACTTAACGGTAGGGAGTATTGCCAAACAAAGAGATCAAGGGATGCAGGTGCAGGGTTTCTTGAAAGTGGAGACGCAGGTCGACAGGGTGGTGAAGAAGGCATTTGGCATGTTTGCCTTCATTGGTCAGTGCATTGAGTATAAGAATTGGGACATCATGTCACAGCTGTACAGAACATTGGTGAGGTCATTTTAGAATACTATGTACAATTCTGGTCACCCTTCTGTAGGAAGGATATTGTTAAACTTGAGAGAGTGCAGAAAAGGTTTACAAGGATGTTGCTGGGACTGGAGGGTTTCTGTTATAGGGAGAGGCTGAATAGGCTGGGGCTTTTTTCCCTGGAGCATTGGAGGCTGAGGGATGACCCTTACGCAGATTGGTAAGGGGCATGGATAGCGTGAATAGCCAAGGTATTTTTCCAAGGGTGGGGAAGTCCAAAACTAGAGGGCATAGGTTTAAGGTGAAATAGGAAAGATTTAAAAGGGATCTGATGAGTAACTTTTTCATGCAGAGGGTGATGCATGTATGGAATGAGCTGCCAGAGGAAGTGGTGGAGGTGTGTACAATTACAACATTTAAAAGGCATCTGGATGGGTATATGAATAGTAAGGGTTTAGAGGCATATGGGCCAAATGCTGGCAAATGGAACTAGGCCAGCTTAGGATGTCTGATCAGCATGGATGAGTTGGACTGAAGGGTCAGTTTCTGTTCTGAATGACTCTATGATTCTAACTGATAATAGAAATGCAAATATTTCCATTTGGTGAATTTCTGCACGTGCACCAAAAGCAATGGTCTTTTTCTCCTTGACACACACAGACGCAGGTTAACTGTTTTCTCAGGGAACTCTGAGAAAAGTAGCAGGGCTTTTTCCAATTGCTTTGACTACTTTGAGGTGCTTAACAGCTAGAATAGATCTCTCTTCTGAAGTGAATCTGTTTCTGGCCTCTAGTTCTCTGGGTCATAACAGTTCAACTTAATAAATACTTCAGCAATTATCTCACCCAAGCTTATCTAATCATTTAGCTTAAGTAACTAATTTCTCAGAAATGCTGTTTTGACTCGCTGCTAAAAGAATGAGTTTCTGATTCTTTAAAAAATTCACCTTCACAGAATTAAAAACCAAAAATCCATTTACCTCTACTTCATAACCTGAATTCCCAAACAATAACAAGAACAACAATAATATATATTGTTAAGCAGGCCAAGCAGCATCAGAGGAGCAGGAAAGTTAATGTTTTGGAAGGGTCCCAACCCAAAATGTCAACCTTCCTGCTCCTCTGATGCTGCCTGACCTGCTGTGTTCGTCCAGCTCCACACTGTGTTGTCTCTGACTCCATCATTTGCAGTTCTTACCACCTCTGAATATATATTATAAGCCTTCATCACAGGGTACAATAAATAATTAGCAAAGCTAACACAATGTTATATGTTAACACAGGAGGAATTGAATACAAACATAAGAAGGTTATTATTAAGGTGAATGGGGCATTGGTAAAACCACATCTCGGGTTTTGTTCAGATGAATTGATTATCTTATTTAAGGAAGGATATTAATACATTAGAGGAAGTTCAGAGAAGGTTTACTATACTAATACCTGGATGGAAGGTTATCTTATGGGGAAAGTTTGGACAGGCTAGGCTTGAATCAGCTGGAGTTTAGAAGAGTCCAAACAACTAGATTGAAACATGTTAGAGCCTCTTGAGACAGGGTTGATGTGGAAAGGACATTTCCCCTCATGAGACAGTCTAGAACCAAAGGAGTCACTATTTAAAAAAATAGGAGTTACCCATTTAAGATAGACAATTATTTTATCTCACAGAAAGTTATGAGACTTTAGAAATCACTTCCTCAAGGGTGGTGGAAGTAAAGTCTGAATATTTTGAAAGCAAACAATTCTTGTTAAACAAAGGGGTGAAAGATTATGGTGGTAGGCAGAAATGTGGCATAATCAAAAGAGCAATGACTTTATTGAAAGGAACAGGAGGCTCAAGGGGCAGAGTGGCCTATCCTGATCCTCATGTGTATCTTCATATGTAGGTTACAGGGGTCAAGTCTGGGAATGGGACTGACTGAATTGCTCTTTGAAGAGCCTGCATACACTCAATGTTCTGAATGGTCACCTACAGTGTCAACAATAACTATGAATTGATGACAACAGTGCCTACACTTCAAAAAGTATTTATTTGGCTGTAAAGTACTTTGGGATGTCCTGAGGTAATGAAAGCCTCCATCGAAAAGAAAAGCTTTCTTTGTATTTCTGTTGTCACATTTTATATCGCATCATATTTTCGTTTCAAAATGCCTCAATATGCTTCACTCAATATTTGCAAGCTATTGACTCCGTGAATAGGCAGCCTACTGTCAGATCTCATCTATTGCTGATCTTGAGCCATTCCACCAGAAGTGGGTGAGACTATTCACATCGTCTGTCTCTGAGCATGACTGGCCTCTGGCTTGTGTCTTTGCTCAGGCGCTCAAATGGGAAACCAAGGACACGAACCCTCACTTGTTCCGCCTTTTAGCACAGCATCCTCTGTGTCACATTGTTACCGCTGCAGCTAAAAATAGAAACTGCTTTGCATATGTGTTCTGCCCATGCAACTTTAAAAATGCTGCATTAAATTTAGCTTTTGCAAGGAGCAGCACGGATTAAAATTAGCCCAGGCTTTCTCTATCCAAAGCTAAAAATAGTTTTGTAGGTGCAGAGACCTAAAATATAGAATTAGACTTTGAGGTACTGCAATTGTAATCCTTAAGTTTAGATTTTAAATCGAATGTTATTGAGAAGGGATACGTGTAAATATTTTAATACAATATAGAAATATTAAACATTAATTATTTATACCTTACACATAATGGCATAATATAATTTCTCAAGAAGATCTTTAAACATAACCATATTTTATCGAAAGGGTTTCTGCACTAACAATATTGTTACAATATGATCCAAACTGCTGAATTACAGAATGCTCTATTTAGTATTTTCTCACTGCATCTCCTTGAGCAGTGTATGGGGATTGAAGATCCATCCACCCATAATATTTCCTTTAATAAATTCCCAGAGGATTTCAGCATATACCATTTTTTCCGAAGGGGTTTACGGTGGCATTCTGCAAACATGTAAACTGCGGATAATCAACAGGAAACCACACCTGATTCGACAAAGGCAAGGCAAGATTACAGGGTACTTTTACATAAAAAAAATAGAAATCAATAAAAAGATGTGTCTTGCCGACGGTAATAATTTCTTGGGTTCGCCCTCGTATTGGTGAAATGGGAGAAGACTAGTCTATGAGGAGCTGTGCTGCACCAGTGAAGTATACATCAGCTCAGTGTTGTAGGCACTGGAGAAACGGAATTTGACTTCACACGCAGGGTAAAAAGCATCAAGCAGTTTTGGACCTGAGATATTACTGACTGCAACTAAAAGTGTTCCGAAGCATGGGAAATGCCGCGAAAAGAATGTTCTTGTTCTTATGGATGGTGTATCTGTTGCTCTTAATTGAGTCGAAGACATCCAAGCAGATGAGATGTCCCGGGGGATGTACTTGCTCTAAGGATAATGCTTTGTGCGAAAATAGAAAATCCATTCCTCACAATTTTCCTCCCGGTGTAGTTTCCTTGTAAGTACTGCGTGATGTGTACTTTTACCGTCATTGGCATTAATGGGACGCCTGGCTGTGTTTATTATATAATGTTGCATGATCCCCAAAGGATCTCACCTATCTTACACCCTTGTCATTGCAATTCTGTAAAAATAGACGACTGTGAATGCAGACTACTGTTCGTCGTGTTTGTGGGATACTTCCATGTTGCTGTCAGTTGATGATGGATGTATCAGTCAACAGTGTACGTGATTCGATTGATTGGAAACGCTCAGAAATTGTGACCTTTTTAATTGGTGCGTTTTGTTTACAGGTCGTTTGCGAAGTCTGGTTTCAGTGAAATCCCACAAGGCAGCTTTTTACACATGCCTTCCCTGCAGCTCCTGTAAGATCCTTTTCTGTGTTTATTCAGTAGGTAATGGGTACACGTCGATTTGTGGCGTGGTAGCAGCGGCTGTGTTGGTGGCATGTCAGGAGAGGTTTAATACTGCTGCAGATACCTCTGAAATAAATACGATACTAACAGTGCAAGAAGAGGTTCATACTATAATCTCTCCTGGGAATGGTCAGACAATCAGCCAGATAATGAATATTAAATTGTTGTGCATTAAAAAAAAATGTATTGTCTGCACGGATGTCTGTATGGGAGACTCAAATGTACAAGGTTTAAATTATTAGTGTTACAGTGTGTAGGGAGAACTTGTGACTTTGTATGTATTAATATTCAAGCAGTGTACAAAATATCATCAGTTTTGACTCAGATTTTGGTGGTATAAAATTCAATGAAAAAATAACATCCTTCCTGACAAAATTGTAATATTTGGAAAGGAAGGGATATTTTAAGTACCTGGGGTACTACATTCTAACTTGACAGAGGAATGATATACCTTTATCTTCCTATTGCTACAAGAACAGCCGGAGTATTATTGCAGCAAAGCTTGTAACACTGCAGGGTTACATTTTTAAAATAATTAGCTCAATACTGCTGTGAAGGAGGGCTGATTGAGTATAAAGCAAAATACTGTGATGCTGCAGATCTGAAATAAAAAAAAGTGCTGGGGAACCTCAGCAAACCTGATAGCATCTGTTCTGTAAGAGAATCATAATAGACTTAAAACATTGACCCTGTTTCTCTCTCCACAGGCCTGCTGAGTTTCTCTGGTATTTTCTGGTTGAGTAGGATTTCTAAAAACTAAAATTTCTTAAAAACAGAGTGCTTCAGGCCCAAGGCTGAAGTTGAATATTTTATAGAGTTGTACATTCTGGTAGATAATCTCCATGTTATTTCTTTTAACTGTTGCTATAGAAAAATCACTTGGAACCTCACATATAACATACAATTTAATGGTAGTTGGAGGTAGCTATACACTTATGTTAACCAGATTGGCCTCCCAAAGGTCTCAGATTTTTCCCACTGTAGAAAAGAGAGATCTTTCATTTCTATGTTGTTGTCCTGAAGCACTTAAAAGCCCATGAAGTACTGTTGAAATCTAGTCATTATGTAGGATACACAACAGCTGATACATACATGGTAAGCTCCCACAAATAGCAATGAGATAACAACCAGCCAATCCACCTTCTGGTTTCATTGGCCGAGGGTTAAATATTGGCCATAACTTCCCTGCTGTTCTTTGAAATAGTACCAGGGAATCTCTTTGTCCTCCTGAGAAGGAAGATGGGGTCTCAGTTTAATGTTTTATCTGGAAGACAGCAACTCTGACAGAGCACCACCCCTTCATCAACACTGTGATGGTGTGTCTGCCTAGAATGCAGTGAATCTCAGGATAGGGCTCAATTCTACAACTTTCTAATTCAGAGGTGCATGTGCTACCCACTGAGTCAAGGCTGACCTCTGTACTCAGATTTCAAACTTGCCCCAGGCTCCAAAATTGGAGGGTTTTCAGAGTTAGTAAAATCAGGGAAAATGTACAAATGTTACTATCTTGTCACCGACATTGGTAATAAGGTCGTTGATAATGCCTCTGGAATAAGTTGCTGGTTGGTATGGTGGATATTGGCACACAGCTTGTCAGAGTCATATAACATGGAAACAGACCCTTCGGTCCAACTAGTCCATGCAGACCAAGTTTCCCACACTAAACTAGTCCTACTTGCCTGCGTTTGGCCCATATCCCTCTAAACCTTTCCTATTCATGTACCTGTCCAAATGTCTTTTAAATGTTGTAACTGTACCTGCATCTACCACTTCCTCTGGCAGTTCCGTCCATAGCCCTCTGTGGCAATGAGTTCTACAGATTAACCACCTTCTGGCTGAAGAAATTCCTCCTCATCTTTTAAAGGGTTAACCCTTCACTCTGAGGCTGTACCTTCGATTCCTAGTCTGTCCTACTCTTGGAAACATTTTCTCTGTACATTCACAGTATCCAAGCCTCTCAGTATTCTATAAGTTTCAATCAGATACCCCCCTCATCCTTGTAAACTCCATTGAGTATAGATCTAGTATCCTCAACTGCTTCTTAGCCTTAATTTCGAAGGAAATAGAGTATACAAATAGGATGGTCTTGCTAAAACTATACAAGGTACTAATCAGATCACAGCTTGAATATTGTGAGCAGTTTTGTGCCCCCTATCTAAGTAAAGACATACTGGCATTGGAGGCAGTCCAGAGGAAGTTCACTAGGCTGCTATCATGTATGGGGGGACTGTCTTAGGAGGACAGGTTGAGTAGTTGGGACTTGTACTCAGTGGAAGAAGAATAAAAAGCAGCCTATTGAAACATATGATTCGGGGACTTGACAGGGAAGGTGCAGTAAGGTTGTTTCTCCTTGCGGGAGAGTCTTGGATCAGAGAATGTAATCTCACTGTGATGAGTCACCCATTTAAAGCAGGGATGAGAAGAATTTTTTTTCCTTCAGATGGTGGTGAATCTGTGGAATGCTTTACTTCAGAGGGTTGTTGAGGCTAAGTTGTTAAGTATATTTGAAGGCTAAGATAGACTGATTTTTAGTCAGGAAGGGAATCAAAGGTTGTGGAGATAACGCAGAAGAGTGCAGTTGAGGATAATCAGATCAACAATGATCTCAATGAATGTCAAAGCAGGCATGATGAGAGGCAGTGGCCTAGTGGTATTATCACTAGACTATTAATTTAGAGATAGTGTTCTGGGGACCTTGGTTCAAATCCCATCATGGCACACAGTGGGATTTGAAGTCAATAAATATCTGGAATTAAGAGTTTACTGATGATCATGAATCCATTGTCAATTATCAAAAAAACCCATCTGGTTCACTAATGTTCTTTAGAGAAGGAAACTGCCATCTTTACATGGTCTGGCCTACATTGTGACTTCAGACCCACAGCAATGTGGTTGACTCTTAACTGCCCTCTGGACAATTCTAAATGGGCAATAAATGCTGCCGAGGCAGCAATGCTCTCATCCCATGAATGAAATTTTTTTTAAAAATCGCCTACTTCTGCTCCAGTGTTTTATGGTAAATACTCAGTAATCTGATGTAGCAGTTGTTAACTGTTTTATGTGCTGTGACAATCCAGATTCGACCAGAAGCATGTAAAGTTAGATTTGAACCATGTTTAAAACTCGAGTTATCAAACCTAGTGAGGAGATGGCTGTCAGAGCTCACTGCCAGAGTGAGGCAGGGCTGTCTGCTATCTCATTTATGATGCCTACATCCTAGTTCACATTCCCACTCTACCTGCTGTTAGCTGTAGCACATGAGAGCATGCCAGGAAAGGATAGGACTCTCCCAGTAGGGTGAGGACAAAGTACACAGTATATTTCCATTTACTCCAGTTTTTTAAAATGAAAACATCTTTCCTTGACTTTTCTGGTTAATTTTAATCAACTGTTTAGAGACGTTAGCATGCACATCTGGGGCAGTCAGGACTAGAATCTGGACTTCCTGGCCCACAGGTAGAGACACTATCATTGTGCAACAAGAGCCCCTTTGAAGTGATTTGCATTTTAAATCTAATTTATCAATTGAATTTAAATTCTCCCAGAGGCTGTGTGGAGTTTGAACTCCTGTCACTGGAGAAGTGGGTCTCACAATTGTGAGTTCAGAAATGTTACCCATCTTATCGACCTGTTCAGACATGCTATGACATGCCTCTGGAACAAGTGACAATTGAACTTGAGCTTCCTGGCCTAGAGGTAGGGACAGTACCATTGTATCTTTTTTAAAAGGGAACCACACAGTCACTATCATTGAGATTAGCATTCACCTCCAGATTTAATTAATTATAACCAGCTACCAAAGTGTGAATTCAACCCAATTTCCCTAAGATTAGGATTCTGATGACATTATCATTACACCACTATCTTCCCACTTGTTACTTTAAATCTACCTGTTCGAGCATGTTATGACACACATCAAAAGCAGGTGGGACTTGAAGCCATGTTTTCTAGCTCAGAGATAGGGAATCTATCACTGCATCATAAAAGCCTCTCTCTTGACTTTTCTGACCATTTTACGTTCAAGGTCATCATATTATTAATTAAGTCAGCTGACTTGGTGCAGACCAGCACACAAACCTGATATCCTGATCTGACTGGGTCATTGCCAGAATCCAAAGCGTAGCTACCTAACAATATCATTCACAACTGCTCAGGTACTGAAGCAGTCCATGTCCAAATGCAGTGAGACCTGGGTGACATTCAGGAGTAGGCTGATAAGTGGAAAGTAACAATTTGGCAATGACTATCTTCAATGAGAGAGAATTTAACTATCACCACTTATTCTTACATTACCATCGTTGAATCTCCTGTTAGAATCCTGGACCAGATTGCTAAATTTATGTTATGATCTGGCCAGGGGCCAGTGTTACATCCCCAGCAGATAGTAATACTGGGCAAGTCAGTGAAACCTTGCTTGACAATATCAGTTTTATTTTTGCTCTTTGTTTACTGTGGTGGTCGGTCACTGAAACATATTCACAAGAGGCAGAAAGACCATACAGTAATCGTTTATTTTTGATCAAAGGAGAAAAGACACAAACTATATTACCAGTATACAAGAACTTTTTGAAACCCTCTTAATTACAAATATCAGAAATAAAGATTCAATGCCTTTTAGTCTCAACAACAACCTTCCAAATACTGAAACTTCAGAGAAGAGTCACTGGCTGTAATTGGTTACTGGATCTTAGTTCTTACTTATTTTGAAGCATTTTGAGAACAAATGCATGCGTTTTACATACTCTCAGGTTCCAACAGTTTTCCTTCTGGAGTTTTCTTTAAAGCCACTCAGGAGTTTTCCATAATGGCCTGACTTTTTAGACACTGCAAAATTAATAATATTTGTCAATCTGACTGAAGCTGCACATGATGGAAGTAGCTGGTTCTGTCTGTGATACTGAACTCCTGTTGCTAGGGAACAGCAATTTTTCTGCCTCTTGTACCTTTACTTCCAAAGCACCGAACTGTTCACTTCAAGCTATATTACAAGCCTGACAAACATTCATTAAAAATGCATGCATTAATAAACCTTGGACACCCTATCACCACTCAAAGAATGAATTTAAATTAATTTAAAACCATGTCTCTCTTTCTTAGCATACTATAGAGAAATACAAATTAAGCTTAAAGTAATATTTGGTTCTGTCTTAAGGTTCCAAAAAAAAATTATGAACTGTAATTAAACCAGCAACTTTTATTGAGATCCAGGGGACTTATTAAGAGAACAAAGTTATAAAATTTCACTGTTTTGAACAAACTAACAAGGTGATGTTGTGGCTGTACAGGATATTGGTGAGGCCACTTTTAGAATACTGTATTCAATTCTGGACTCCCTGATGTTGTGAAACTTGAAAGGGTTCAGGAACAATGTACAAGGATGTTGCCAGGGTTGGAGGATTTCAGCTGTAGGAAAAGGCTTGGGCCATTTTCCCTGGAGCATCAGAGGATGAGTGATGACTTTATAGAAGTTTATAAAATCATGAGGTACATGGATAGGGTGAATAGTCAAGGTTTTATACCCGGGGTAGGGGAGTCCAATGCTGAAGGGCATAGGTTTAAAATGAACGGGAAAAGATTTAAAAGGAACCTAAGGGGCAATATTTTCATGCAGAGTTTGATGCGTGTATGGAATGAGTTGCCAAAGGAGGTGGTGGAGGCTGGTACAATTAAAACATTTAAAAGCATCTAGATGAGTGCATGAATAGGAAGGGTTTAGGTGGATTTGGACCAAATGCCAGAAAATGGATCTAGATTAATGTAGAATATTTAGTCGGTTGGACTAAAAGGTTTGTTCCCATGCTGTACAGCTCTATGACTCTATGACTCGACTCTACTTGCACAACTTATTTCTACCACCCAGAATTAACATTTGGTAAATATGGGTGTTAGACTGCAAACAAACCTCACAGTGCACATGAAATAGCAAATATGAATAAAACAGATCCTACAGATTTCTCAGCAATACTCTCCAGATATTAATGACACAGTGGATCATCAAATCTCATTAAACTTCACAAGAGATTACAATTCTTAATTCTGTTATTCTGTCCATGACATTCCCTCTCATAGCTGTTCTATCCTGAATGACAGCTCCTTTTATGGTTAATCACCCTCCTTTCCTAGACTCTGGAAATTGCACTCTGGTACTTAATCACAAGCACAGTTTCAGATTTTCACACACAACAAGCCTCACAAAGCTAATGCTGCCACTTTTTTTTTCTGAGCTATAATCTTGCCTCAAGCAAATATTATCTGATGAGCTTTCCAACTCCCATTCTCAACTGTACTGAAGTATTGATTGTCCACAGGTTTCTTTCAAGCCCTTCATAATTCCTAGGACTTTGCTGATTCCCCCACTATTTGGAGTTATTGTAGTGCATTAGGACTTTCCTGAGTCCCATACACAGAACCTGTGTAGTTCAGTTGCTTTCCCAGCAGTACAGCAGCACTGTCTATCATGGAGTCTGCCACTCTTTCTTGCCATACTCCACCATTCAATGAGATCATGACAGATCTTTGGCCTGATTCCATATACCTCCTTGGGCCATAGGCCTTAATACCTTTGTTTAACAACAAAAATTAATATCAAATTTAAAATTAACAACCGATTGAGCATCAACTGCCATTTGTAGACGAATTCCAAACCTCTACCACCCTTTGTGAGTAGAAATGCCTCCTAACATCTCTCCTGAACAGCCTAGCCCTAATGTTTAGACTCTGCCCCCTTGTTATAGAGAATCTAACCATTGGAAATAGTTTATTTTTATCTACCCTGTCTTTTCCTGTCAATATCTGCAAATGCCGCCCAGTACTGAATCTGATACTCCAGCTGAGGAACTAAATCGTGTTTTGTAAAGGTTTTAGACTAGTCTCCTTGTTTTTATACTCTATTTCTCTATTATTTGAAACAAGCATACCATGCATCTTTTATAACAGTGTAAGTAAATAAAGAAATATCACACACTTCAGGAAAACTGGCACACTGGACTCAAAGCAAATTTCAACTGCTTTCTGAAATCACCAAGCAAACCATTCAATTTAAGGGAATTTGGGGACTGGCAACAAATGTCAGCAACACCCACTTCCCATGAAAAAATACATTAAAAAAATCCAGACAGTTTCATCACCTGAAAGTTCAGATGCAAGTTGCTATCATTTATGAAGCTAGTTTATTGCTTCACTTGTGCATCAAGCATGAGAACTATCTGTGGACACTCCAGCACAATTTCTCTGAGTCTTTTTGCACTTCAGGCATTATCAAATCTTGAAAGAGTGGACATAATAGTGCAGCCTGCTAACAAGAGGTATAGACTGAAAATAGAGCTTTAACACTATTATACTGATTCCTTGACCTGCACTTTCTTCAAATGTTGCTGGCAGCATTGAATCACTAAATTTACCTTAATGATATAAAGTTGCATTAAGGTCTGCAGGAACTGGGTTTCAGTTTCAAACTTGCTTATTATATATGACTGTGTCTGTCTCAGATGGGTGAATGGTCAGTTCTTGACAATATGATCTGCCAGAAGAAACGGAGAGGAGAACCTGGCTATCTATTAACTTGGCATTATTTTTATGTTTAATTGGTATCTCAATTAGAAATGTCTTGCTGATTGGAAGGTAGCATTGCCAAATTGATATCCCAGGGCCCAGCTAATGTTACATTTAAGGTAACTTGGTACGAAAGGATCCAGAGCTTTAGAAGAATCCTTGTTCCTGCTGTCTCTGTCCTGAAGTTCTTTGGTGTTGCTCCCTTGTGTTGAATTTATTAGCAATGATGATGGCCTGCTCACCTGACAGAAAGCTGGGTGAAACTCTCCACTTCCCTTCAGACCTCCCTGCTATCCTGTGACTAAATTTTGCCAGTTGTTTTAGCATCATTCCAGTATTAACTCTCTGTGTTGGATATAGAGATAGGTTATGGAACCTTACTGCACAGAAGGAGGCCATTCCGCCCATTATTCTCATGCCAGCATTTTTTAAAGGGCTATCCAATTCACCTGACTCAGTCTTTGATTCTCTCCATACCCCTGCAAAAAAGGTGCTTATTGAATATTACTCCACCACCCTATCAAATAAGATCGACCAGCAAAAGAATCCACACCCTCAGTAGTGTGATTGAGAATTGTGTAAATTTTCTCAGTATCAATCATAATGTCAGATATTTTATGAATTATTATTGTTCTGATTATTACTTTCCATAACAGCTTGTTCACTTCAAACTCTTTTGACACTGTTGGAGATGATGCCTTCCTTGGTCTTTCTCAACTCAAATACCTGTAAGTAAATATCAAATCTGGACATGTTCATATTGTGCATAGATTGAGTATCAGGAGTATGAAAATATTGAAATGCTTATTCCGCTCCCCCCACCATCCCCACTCTAGGTTTGTAGAAAACAACAAAATCCAATCCATCTCAAGGCATGCATTTCGAGGACTCAAGTCTCTAATTCACCTGTAAGTATATCTTTTCTCGTTTGATATAACCTACATATTTAGTATGGAATAAGGGTCCAGTACCTTAAGTACAAATGTTCTTCAGGCAAGTACTAACATAGTAATGAATGCCAATAACATCTTGTGTTGTGCTGAAATCATTATTGTACAAGCTATAATGTAGACAGGATACAATATAAAAAATTCACACAATACTCATTACAAGTGTTATCAAAGTTATCCAAAGTTGCTTAAAATTATATCAAACTTACAGCACAGAAAAAAGCCAATGCCAATGGTATTGGTCCAATGACCCTATACCGTTGTTCGTGATCCATAGGGTTCACAGGATTGGTTAGTTTTGTTGATTTGACGAATAGCGTGCATTACAGAAGGACACCAGTTTTGAGAGTTCACTACTTGTACTGTGGTAGTTTATGGAGGTCTGCCTCCTCACTTTTTTATTCACTCATGGATGTGGGCATTGCTGGCTGGCCAGCATTTATTACCCTTCCCTAATTGCCCTTGAGAAGATGGTGGTGAGCTGCCATCTTGAACCACTGCGGCCCATATGCTGTATGTACACCTACAATGCTGTTAGGGAAGGAACTCCAAGATTTTGACCCAGTGTCAGTGAAGGAACGATGATATATTTTCAAGTCAAGCTTGGAAGGGAACTTGCAAGTGATGTGTTCCCATGTATCGCTTGCCATTGCCCCTCTAGATGGAAGTGGTCATGGGTTTGGAGCGTGCTGATCTTTGCTGAATTTCTCCAGTGCAACTTGTAGATAGTACACACTGCTGCTACTGAGCATCGGTGATGGAGGGAGTGAATGTTTGTAGATGTGGTGCTAATTAAGCGCGCTGCTTTGTCCTGGATGGTGTCAAGCTTCCTGAGAATTGATGGAGCTGCACTCATCCAGGCAATTGGGAGTATTTCATCATACTGCTGACTTGTGCCTTGAAGATGATGGACGGGCTTTGGGTAGTCAGGAGGTGAGTTACCCGCTTCAGTATTCCTAGCCTCTGATCTGCTGTTGTAGCCACTGTATTTGTGTTGAGTCCAGTTGAGTTTCTGGTCAATGGTAACCCTCAGGATGTTAATGGTGGACAATTCAGTGCTGGTAATGCAAAGGGACAGTCATTAGATTATCTCTTATTGGAGCTGGTCTTTGCCTGGCATTTATGTGGCATGAATGTACTTACCTCACTAACCTTACCCCATACTTTTGAAGTGGTGTCCTTTAAGCTACATATATATAAAACAAATTCTGACTCTGTAATAGAAAGAGATACCAATGTTCTTTGTGGACTATGGTAAATTACTTACAGTTATAGAGTAATTTTTAGCACTGCTTCAGTCCAGAATTCTGTAGAGTGTTCACTGGTATCCTGTCACCCACCTAGGTTGGGAGTTCAATGGAAAATTGTGCAAAATGACTATGAATAGCACTTAAGCTATTTCTCTAGAATTTCCACCAGTGCCTTATTGGTATTACCATGATAAACCTCAAGAAGTCAGGGCGACTATTTCATCTGATTGCAACAATTCCAATTCTAAAATTAGCTTTGACAGTTTCAAATAAACTTTCAAGTAACTGTAATTTCAAATGCAGTTCCAAGAAGAAGTACATGATTCAATACTACCCACAATCTGGTGATCTTATGCAAGCGACTACAAAGTTGAATGGTATAGGAAATAGGAAAAGAAAGTATCATGTAATTGGATGGAAGGGGTGGGGTTGAGTAGATTTACTTACACTGAAAATATTCTATGTTAGACTGTGCCATTTTTTCAATATAATGTACATTTTGAGAGTAGACAATTTTGTGGCTTGGTTATTTTCTTGAGAAGTATTTCTTTATCTGGCATTTTTCAATCACTCACTAATTCTTCATTTTGTCTTTCAGTGAGATTTGCTAAATTGGAATTGTTGGCCAGTACAGTAGGTCAGTGCTCTGTCACAGGGGCTTCCTGTCCTATCTGTATTGGAGTGATGAGTCAATTGAAAAAGAAGCTGTGTAATAGTAGGAATCAGGGCTCTGGTTATTTGACAATGCTAATCTTAGAAGCTTCTCAAGGGAGATAGTAAAGCTCTGTCTCAGTCAAAGGAAATAAATCAGCAATTTGATGCAGTTGAGCTGTCCCTCTGGGACAGTTACAAATCGTGTAACTTTTGCCCTTTTGTTAGTGGTTGGTTGATATTACATAATGTCATAGATATTCCTAGCAATTCTAATGCACTAATCCAATGAAAAGCTTTAAATGGCATTGTGGACCACAAGAGCAATGTATGAGTAATTTAAAATGACGATCAATAGACTGTAATTTGATCACTGTCTTATGGAGAGGCATCATTTTTTTCATTTGGCAAATGATACAAGACCAAGGTTCAAAGCACAAGCCATTGCCAAGTTGAAAAGACTTAGAAGGTGAACTAAATACTTGTAAATGGATGACACAAACCCTTTTAAAATGTGTTTGAGGAGGAGAAAAGTCAGGGAAGGTTAGGATGTGTGCCATTGGGGTGCTGAGAAACATGATTTGAAAACAGATTTTAGTTCTAATTTCAATGCAGCATAGATATAAGGTAGAAGAGAAGTATCTGAGATCCGAAGACAGTGGCAGTGGCATTGTTGTACCCCAAGTGCAAAGCAAGGCATTGGGCCCAATTTCATTTTAGTTTGGGAGGTCAGACTACTTTACTGGTCAAAATGTGCTACCTGTATACATTAGCTCACTAATAACAGATTATAATAGAACATAGAACAGTACAGCACAGGACCAGGCCCTTCAGCTCACCGCTTGGGTGCTGACCATGATGCCATTCTAAACTAATCACATCTTCCAACACACGGTCCATATCCAACTATTCCCTGCCTGTTCATGTGTCTGTCTAAATGGCTGTTAAACCTTGCTATTGTATTTGCTTCTACCACCTCCTTTAGCAGTGCGTTCTAGACACCTACCACCCTTTGTGTAAAAAACTTCTCCGCTCTCACCTTAAACCATTGACCCGTAGTATTTGACATTTGCACCCCGGGAAAAAGATTTTACCCAATTCATGCCTCTCATAATTTTATATACTTCTATCAGGTCGCCCCTCAGTCTCTGACACTGTAGCAAAAACAATCCAAGTTTGTCCAACTTACTCTTATAGTTAATATACTCCAATTCAGGCAACAACCTGGTAAACCTCTTCTGCACCCTCTCCAAAGCTTGTACATTCCTCCTATGGTATGGTGACCAGAACTGTGCACAATACTCCAAATGTGGTGTATTATATAGATGCAACGTGATTTGTCAACTTTATACTCAGTGCCCTGACTGAGGAAGGCAAGCATGCTGTATGCCTTCTTTACCACCTTTTCCACTTGTGTTGCCACTTTCAGTGAGCTATAGGCTTGCAACCCAAGCTCCCACAATGTCTCGATGTTCCTAATGGTCCTACTGTTTACTGTATACTTTCCTCTTGCATTTGACCCCCTGTAATGCATCTCCTGACACTCTGGATTAAACACAATCTTCTATTTTGTCACCCAACTTTCTAACTGATCTATGTCCTGCTGCATCCTTTGACAGTCTTCCTTACTATCAACAACTCCAGCAATTTTGGTGTCATCTGCAAATTTACTAATCGGACCACCTACATTTTCATCCAGATCATTTATATATATTACAAATGCAGAGACACCAGCACTGATCCTTGTGGAACACCATGGGTCACAGACATCCAGTCAGAAACACATCCCCTCCACATTACCCTCTGTCTTATATGACCAAATCGATTTTGTATCCAACAGATCAACTCGCCATGGATTCCATGTGACTTAATCTTCTTAATCTTCTAGAATAGCCAAGGTCTTTTCCCCAGGGAAACTAGAGAGCATGATTTAAGGTGAGAGGGGAAAGATTTAAAAGGACCTAAGGGCCACCAATTTCATGCAGAGGGTAGTGCATGTATGGAATGAACTGCCAGAGGAAGTGTTGGACACTGGTACAATTACAACATTTAAAAGGCATCTTTGCATGTTCTCCCTGTGACTGTGTGGGTTTCCTCCAGATGCTCTGGTTTCTTCCCACAGTCCAAAGCTGTGCAGGTTAGGTCGATTGTCGGAAAAACCCATCTGGTTCGCTAATGTCCTTTAGGGAAGGAAACTGACATCCTGAAATAACAAGGTGTAGAGCTGGATGAACACAGCAGGCCAAGCAGCATCAG